AATATTTCTTGCTGCTTCTAGTTCATTGCTTACAAATAACGGTTGTCAGCAATGGCAGGCCAAATTTAGTGAGAACTTGTGTCTTCTTCTCTCGCCATTTTGCTTCCTCTGTCCCCCAACTATTTCTGACTTTGAGCCTTTTAGTTCAAATTTCAGGGAGTGGCCAAGTGTTATATCCTCTCTGCTTCCTTCAGTTGGTAGCCAAACGACATCTCCCTTCTCTTTCTTTGACTCTGAATTTACAAAGGAGGGGGGCGTTTGAGGAGTGAGGGTTCAGGGGGCTCTGGGTAGAGCTCACTCCTTAGCATTCAGATGCTGAAGACCACAGAGGTCCAAGTCCTTCCACTGATCAACACAAACGCCATTGTAGATATGGGGGGAGAGGCTCACTGTAGCACATCCTACCTAATCATTCCCATACTAATCAATCCTCATATTCTGTCCCATGGCCTATATGTTCTGGACCTTTAGAATTAACCTACTAAGCTTCTGGGTATTGTGAGTCCCAAATTTGGTGAATATAGAGGACTGGCTAAACTTTGTGGAGTTAATTCTCAATGAGAACAAATGTCTCTATGATCCTGCAACGACCTGGTGGTAGTTAGAACAACTATTGGGTGGCTACTTTAGCCTGTATCTGTGACCCAGGAGACCAAGCCTCTTTGTGTTTGAGTAGGGAAGCACTGCAAAAATGCTTCGCCACTCCTTTTTCTTTCCAGTGGTTCTGAGAAGTGGGGGCATTGCACCCACCCACTGATGATTATTGCCTAACTGCCTAACACAGACTCTAATATTTTATTCAATGGCAGCAAGGTGGCACCATTGTGCATAACTGCATAGAGTACTGGGCCTGGAGTTAGGAAGACTCATCTTCCTGAGTTCAAATCTGGCATCAGACACTTACTAGCTGTGTCGCCTGGGCAAGTCACTTAACCCTGTTTGCCTCAGTTCCTTATTTGTAAAATGAACTGGAGAAGGAAATGACAAACCACTCCAGTATATTTGCCAAGAAAACCCCAAATGGGAATATGCCCAAAGAGCCATAAAATTGTTCATACCCTTTGATCCAGCAATACTACTTCTAGGTCTGAATCCCAAAGAGATTTTAAAAAAGGGAAAAAGACCTATTTGTACAAAAATATTTATAGCAGCTCTTTCTGTGGTGGCAAAGAATTGGAAACTGAGGGGATGCCCATCAATTGGGGAATGGCTGAACAAGTTGTGATGTATGAATGTAATGGAATACTATTGTGCTATAAGAAATGATAAGCAGGCCACTTTCAGAAAAACCTGGACTTACATGAACTGATGCAAAGTGAAGTGAGCAGAACCAGGAGATCATTGTACACAGTAACAGCAATATTGTATGATGGTCCACTGTGAATGACTTAGCTCTTCTCAGCAATACAATGATCCAAGATAATTCCAAAGGACTCATGATGAAAATTGCTATCCACATCCCAGAGAAAGAACTGATGGAGTCTGAATGTAGATCGAAGCATATTATTTTTCACCTTTATTATTATTTTTTTGGGTATTTTTTTCTTTTTGTCTGCATTTTCTTTTGCAACATAGCTAATATGGAAATATGTTTTACATGATTATATATGTATAACTTATCTCACATTGTTACTGCCTCAAGGAGGGGGGAGGTGAGGGAAGGAGGGAGAAAATTCAGAACTCAAAATTTAAAAAAATGAATGCTAAGAATTGTCTTTACATGTAGTTGGGAAAAAATGTTATTAAATCCCTCCTCCCCCCAAAAAGAAAAAGAAACCCTCAAATGGAGTCACAAAGAGTTATACACAGCTGAAATGTCTGAACAGCAACCAATTCAATCCAGGCACTCACGATATGCCTGGATTCCCCCTTGCACTCATTATGTGTTCCATAGTCATTGCAATTGGTGACTACCTGGTAACTACCAAGTCAGAGGCTGCCAAAGACAATCTGTGAAGTATTTTATGAGCAGACAAAGCTGTCTGTAAGTGGGATGTCAGCTGCTGCCTTGCCCCTGGGAACACTCAGAGGGATCAGGTCTGATTATATGTCTGCCACCTCTGTGCCAGAGCTCACACAAATATGTATTACTTGGCTTTCATTTTTAAAAATATTCTGAACACCAAGTGAAATGGGCATTTCCATACACATAAACACAACAGAACAGAATAAGAAGATGGTACATGGAACTGAAGACCTTTATTTTGTGTAGCTTCCTTTTCTTTGAAAGCAACTAGGTGGTGAAATGTATAGAGCTCGGGCCCTGGAATCAGGAGGACCTGAGTTCAAATCTGGCCTCAGATACTTAACACTTACTAGCTGTGTGACCCAAGTCACTTAATCCTGACTGCCTCACCAAAAAGAAAAAAAAAAGTATATAATAAATTTAACCTTTAGCTGTCCTGTCCTGTGGCTGTTTCTGGCCTTCATTCTGTTCTCTTTTCTGTATTTTTTTAAAAAAAGTTGCCTCCACAATTCTCTTTTCTTTTCCCTACCCTTTCTCTATGCATCTTTCCCCTCCCACCCCTACTCCTCCCAATGGAGGAAAAAAAAAAGAAAAACATACAGCTCTTGTTATAAATATCCATAATCAAGCAGAACAGATTCTGTGTCTTACTTTTCAAATGCATGCAGATAATATTGTGATTAAAAATACAAATTTATTTAAAAGTGTTACTGAATACACAATCATTTTTATCAAGTATTTTCTCTACCAATTCATACTGATAGTTCAACAACTATAAGGGAGGAGGCATGTGCAGTTCAGGTCATTTTTTGATGTTAAAAAGGACCTAAACTAAACATTTACTAGCACACTCCCCCGGGGGTGCTGGTAAATGTTTTATCAACTGTCTCCCCAAAGTAAAAAAGGTACTCCGGAAACACTTTTAAGTCTAATTGACATGAAGACTTCTTTCATTACTTTCTTCAGTCTAGACAATTCACAAAACAATGAAATAGGCCTTGATTTGCAGCTGGTGCTGGTCTCTGATGTGTAAATACTTACAATAAACATTTATGGGTCCAGAAAGGCCTGTGATCATAAGGACCATCTGACTGTAATACCTGTCAGGTTCTTTCCTGCTCTGAATCCTATAATTCAGCGTTTTAAATCTGTGTGTGTGTGTGTGTGTGTGTGTGTGTGTGTGTGTGTGTGTGTGTGTGAAGGATCTCTTTACAATCTGGTAAAACTTATATAGACCCCTTCTCAGAATAATAGATAATTGAAGGAAATATTAAATTTTAGTGGTGAGTGAAAATAAAGATGTAGTTTTCCTCCCATCCAAGTTTACAGATCCCCCTGAAATCTATCCGTGGGGGCCAGGTTAAGAGCCTTTGTTATCCTATGACCTATAATATAATCTTATATATTATGACACACACACACATATATATAATATATAATATTATATATGATTACATATAATATTACATATATAATCTTATATATTATGACACTAAAGTTCAGCTATTTAGTCATGACCCCATTTGGCATTTTCTTGGCAAAGAAAACTGTAATGGTTTGCCATTTCCTTCTCCAACTCATTTTACAGATAAGAAAACTGAGGCAAATGGGTTTAAATGAATTACCCAGGGCCACACAGCCTGTAAATGTCTGAAGTCAGATTTGAATTCAGGAAGATGAGTCTTTTTGAGTCCAGGCCCAGCAGGCTATCCACTGGGCCACCTAGCCCATCATATATAATATTATAGTATAGTCCTATAATCCTGATACCTTTAGAGGGGGGTGATGAGTTTTGTCGTTGGATGATAATAATAGCTGGCATTTATATAGTGTTGAAGCTCTACACAAGTGTTTTTATAAAGCAAAGTGCTTTACGTAGACAGGGTGTCCCAAAAGTTTTAGTGTTTCAGCAGTCACTTAACTTAAAGCTGCCCTAAGACTTCTGGGACACCCTGTATTATCTCGTTTGATGACTGACCCAGAGCTAGAAGGGACCTTACACAGTCATACAGCCAATCATCCCATTTTAAAAGGAGAGGAAATCCTGCTAAGTGGGGCAGTGACTATAGCGCTGGATCCCTGACATCAAGTCTGGAAGAAGACCTAAGTTCGAATCCTGACTCCGACCCTTATTATCCCGGAGCCCCTGGACAAGTCTCTTAACCTCTCTGAGACTCAGTTGCCTTCTCTGTCAAAATGGGGACGATAACGATAATGTTGTGAGGTTCAAATAGGCTAAGGCGTGTAAAGAGTTATTGCACTGTGTGATGATAAGGAGGGTGTGGATGAGGATGGTGACGAGGGGTAGTGCGAATGGTGACGCGATGGGGCGCTGCAGGTGCAGGTGCAGGCTTTCTCCCCGCCCCCACGGCCCCGGTGGAGTGGGACTTGGCAGTTCTGCCTCCGGAGGGCCACCGGTCTTGCACGAAGCCCCCACGACCTCCGCGGAAGGGAGCACCGGGGGTGGGAAGGTGGTAAATGTTTAACACCTGGCTCTCCCCGAAAAAGTAGGAGGGTACGCTTTTAAGTTTCTTCTGCATTACGGAAAGCTCAAAGGAGGTAATATTTGTGGAGTGCACGGGCGCTTAATAAGCGCCGGCACCCTCCCCCATTAGTAGCATTTTCTCCATCACCAGCGAAAAACAAGATGTCAAGTCCCGATCGGTGGATCTGCCGAGCCCGCCAATTTCCGAGGGGATCTCATTTTAAATTTAACCACGGGCTCCCCGGAGCGCCCCACCCCCAACCCCAGTGGGCGCAGGCGCAGGCGCAGGTCGCGGAAGGCCGGGGCGCACCCGGGACATCGCGGAGTGAGGAAGACAGGGCAAAGACAGCGAGCACACGTAGCCCGCGGAGCGCGCGGACGGAGCCGAGCAAGTTTGGGATGGCTCAGCCGCCGTAGGCGGCGCCGCCCTGGCCTTGGCCGCCCTCCTGCCCCTGGAGGGCGAGGGAGGGGAGGAGTGGGCGGGGCCGGGCCGCGCGGGCCCCGCCTCCTTCCCCTCAGGGCGGTGGGGTCGGGGCGGGGCCGCGGGCGCGGGCACGGTCACACCCAGCGCGCCTCCGCCGCTGTCGCTGCCCCTGCCGCGCCCGGGAAGCGCTACGCCGCCCGCGGAGAGGCTTCGCCCGGAAAATCTCGCTCCTGCAGCCATGTCCACCGCGGACGAAGTCGACGGGCTGGGGGTGGTCCGCCCGCACTATGGCTGTGAGTCCGGGGTCGGGCTGGGTTGGGAGGGCGAGCCGGGTGCGGCCCGGCCCCTTCGCGCCCTGGCCGGCCCAAGGCGAAGGTGGCTCGGCTCCTGCTGGGGCCGCGCCGCTCCGACCCGGAAGGGCAGGGCCGGTCCGGAGTGCGGGCCCGGTCCCGGCCCCCTCCCCGATTACGCCTCTGGGCCGAGGCCCCACCCCGGGAGGGGCCCGTGCTGACACTTCCGTGTGTCAGATGGAGCCAGGCTGGCCGGGCTGGGGGGGGGGTGTGGAGGGCTTCCAGCCCCCCCGAGAGGGCCAAGCTTGACTAGGTCTCTGCCTCGCCCGCCCATCCTCCGGCGGAGGAAACTGAGACCCGCGAGGCCGAAAGCGGCTTGGCCAAGGTCACCCAAATTCTCGGGGGCTCAGATGCCCTCCGCGCCAGGCTCGGCTGCTTTGCGTGGCTTTGGAAGACCTTCCTTGGGACCCTGGAAAGCCCCCAGGGACTGGGGGACTGACTGACGGAGGCAGAGCTTGGTTTCTTCTCGATGCAGCCTGAGAACAAGGGTCTCTGGACTTCTTTTTAAAACCGTCGCTAAATGTTTCAATCAGTTTATTAACTTTGTGATCTCGTGTATTCTGTCCATTTAAAAACCACTTTTGGAGAAGGGTGGCCATAGGTCTCCTCAGACGGCCTCAGGAGCCCCTAACACCAAAAAGAGAAAGAATTGCCCCATGAGGAGGGATGAGAACTGATGGAAGGCACATTTTGGGGAGCTGAAAAGAGCCCTGGACCCCTGCACTTTAGAGACGCGGGCATCTTGGTGTGGTGAAAAGACTCGGGGACTAGTGCAACCAGGAGACCCAAGGTTCTGGCTGTGAAATGAGAGAATTGGAGCAGATGATCTCTCGATCACATGAGTTGTCTGTATTCTGTGATTCTAGGTCTTTAGGAAAAATAAAATGTTACTGATTTCTCTTTATTTCAATCATATTTGCCGGTGTGTCCCAGCTTTCCCTCAGAGTGTCGTCACTTCAGTCAAAGAATAACAAAGCTAGGGAAAAAACAGTTTACCAAACTAGCCAATGTAGTAAGAGAGTTTTAAGTTACGTGCAGTGTGCTGCACCATAGTTTTCCATTTTCTGCAAAGGGAGGAGGTTGGGAGGTGCCTTCTCAAAGCTCTCTTACATCCAAGCTTGATTCTGAAATGTACTGAGCATAGTTTTCTTTTTACCAGGATCTTGAAAGTAATAAAGTGGAAGGGAAGGAACTTGCTTCCTTATTCAATCTGTCAAGTAATTCTGCTTTCCTAGGGTTTTGGACGTTATTATATTTGTTCTGCAGGGGAAGAGGGAGACCCAACCTAGTTCCCCTTTTTTTTTTTGAAAGAGGCTATGCCTTTTGAAGATGTAGGGGTTTTAGTTTCAAGTTATGCACTGGAAATAGGGTTCTCATATATTAGGCTGCTGTGGATAAAAGTTCATCAACACCAGTAAAATGCCGAGTCAGATATATGCCTATGTTACCATATTTTGACAAAAATGATAAAAATAATATAGGTGAGGCCCAATGTTCTTACATGAATAAGGGCATTATATTATACCTGGCAGTACTTGATGCCAAGGGGAGTGGGAAGTTACTGAGCTGAAGCAGGGCCCACTAATCTGGCTTCTTACATCTCTTATGAAAGCTACAGATTTACATATTTATATAATTTTTCTTATTTTGTAGCTGTCTTGGATAATGAAAGGCTCACTGCAGAGGAGATGGATGAGAGGAGACGTCAGAATGTGGCTTATGAGTACCTTTGTCACCTAGAGGAAGCAAAGAGGTAAGGAAAAGGTGGTTGGTAACAAATTGGGACAAGGAACTTGGTTTGTTGTGAACTTCTCTTTGGGATGTGTACCTGTGGGTGAATGAGCTTAGGGTTAGTTTGAAGGAACCTCACAGATCAATTTAGTTCAGGCTCCCACCTCTCGAAGGACCTCTCTCTAACTAGTTGGGGGGAGAATTAGGACTAGATTCCAAGTTTCTTCCCTCTGAGATCTGTTAACCATACTTTATTCCCTTTAGAACATTTTCTTTTCTAATCAGGTCTTAGGTTTTGGACTTCTAGCATAAGAGGTGGCCCTTTTTCTTTCTTTCTTTCTTTTTTTTTTTTTTAAGTTTTCAACATTCACTTTTATAAGATTTTGGGTTCCAAATTGTTTCCCTCCCCTCTCCTCTCCCTAAGACAGCAAGCAATCTGATATAGGTTATACATGTACAATCATATTAAACATATTTCTACATTAGTCATTTTGTGAAAGAAGAATCAGAACAAAAGGGAAAAACCACAAGAAAGAAAAAAAAACAAAAAAGAGTGAAAATAATATGCTTCGATCTGCATTTAGACTCTATAGTTCTTCCATCATGAGTCTTTTGGGATTGTCTTGGATCATTGTATTGCTGAGAAGAGCTAAGTCAGTCATAGTTGATCATTGAACAGTGTTCTGTGTACAATGTTCCCCTGGTTCTGCCCCCTTCACTCAGCATCAGTTCATGTAAGTCTTTCCAGGTTTTTCTGCAATCGACCTGCTCAGCATTTCTTACTTTGTATTTATGTATAACATGTATATCCTTTATATTCACGTATAACAACTCATTCGGCCATTCCCAAATTGATATGCGTGCCTCTGATTTCCAATTCTTTGCTGAGGGCCACCTTTTCCTATGAAGTCTTTCTTGTACATGGTTCTTCAGGGGTTTACTCTTTTCAAATTGAGCTACTTGGAAAAATATTTCCTACTGCTTACCTGTAAGTGTTCATCTGATTCTGGAAGCTATCATTGCTTATGAACAAATTCGGTTTTGTGCATAAATCCATCCATTCACTAAGGCTGTATTAAGTGCCTAATGTTTGCAGGGCACAGGAGATACAAAGACAGATTGTGATTCTTTCAGACTTATAAAAGTGGGGAAGGACAGCCACACAAATAATTGTTGTAAGGGAAAGTGAGGCAATTCACAGTGCTATAAGAACTTTGAGGAGGACGAAATCAACTTTACTTCTGTGGGTTTGGGGTTGGTGAGGGAAAGCTTCATGGGGGAGGCAGCAGCTGGATTGGGCGCTGAAGAGAAGAATTTCAGAATGTGGAAGTGGGCTAGGGAGTCTGTTTGGTGCATAGTGGAAGCGTGAGCAAAGGTATGAAAACTGGAGGTGGCAAGAGAAGAATGGGGACTAGTCTGGTTGGGATGAGGAGAGAGGCTGGAAGAGCAGGTGGAGCTCAGATTGTGAAAGTACTTGATCAGGATTGTACGCTTCGTTTTGTAAGCAAGGGAAAACTATTTAAGGGTATTGAGGGGGCAGCGAGGTGGTGCAGTGGTTAGAGCACCAGCCCTGGATTCAGGAGGACCTGAGTTCAAATCTGGCCTCAGACGCATAACACTTACTAGCTGTGTGACCCTGGGCAAGTCGCTTAACCCCATTGCCTAACCAAAAAAAAAAAAAGGGTATTGAGTAGAGGAGTAATGTTAGCAGAGCTGGGCTTTCCCAACTAGAGTGATCTCCTCACTGTTGTATACTTGGGAGGGAAATCCAGGTAGACCCACTAGCCAGCACCAGGTCAGAGTTTTTCTCATTCTGACTCGGTGGTCCAGACGCTGCCCAGAACTAGCAACTGCTTTGTGAGACACTGAGTTTAGCAATGCTGAGAAGAGCACATCTTTCTAGGACTGATTCTTGGAGGGCCTGTGGTCTCCAAGTGTCCTGTCTTCTTGAATGAGTCTGTAGTAACATCTGGAAATCTTCAGTGGGAGTTTATAAGACAGCTTAGAGTGGTGATCATTCAAGCCAGGCTCCATGAACATAATAGAGTTAAGTTACTTAAAGATTGAAGTCTGTGATATCATGAAGGTATGGGTAAGATAAACTGACCTGTTCCGCCATTTCTGTGCTATCAGAAGTGGTGAGTGTCCCATAACATTAGAAGATGCTTCTTTACACAGTGGGGAGTAAGTGACACAAGTATAGACTTACAAAGGTGAAAGAGACCTTTGAGGTAATCTGACCCACAATCTCTGATTTGATATATGAGGAAATTGGGGGCTAGAGAGATGAAGTACTTGCGCAAGAAAACTCTTAAGTTAGTGACCCAGTTGGGACTGGAATGCAGGCTGAAAACACAGCCAGGCCCAGAAGTATTTCAATAAGTTCATCTATTCAGGGCAGTTAAGAAGCTTGGGAGCAACCTTCTAATCTCTTAGGCTGGTGTCACTGAGAGAGACTACCATCTTCTCCCATAAAAACAAATCTTGGTGCCCTGGCTGGTCAAAGCTAGTATAGATTGCTCTCACCTGCAAATGGATGTGTCGTTAAAAGCTTCAAGCTCATTTTCTGTAGAAACAATGTTTTTAATAAGAGTTGTTAAAAGTTATGTCATTCTTTATGGTTATAAGGTATTTTATAGTTATCCTAATTGATTCTTATAATAGCTACGTGAGGGAGGCTGAACACGTACCATTATTCCCATTTTACAGATGAAGAAGTTGAAGCTTTAAGGAGTTCTATGACCTACCCAAGGTCTCATAGCTGAGAACCAGTCTTTGGACCCCAGGTGGTTAGGTTCCCAGGCTAGTTCACAAAAGCCTGTTTAATTCAGTATAGCCGAAATATTTTTTCAGTGGACAGTTGTAAAAATTTTTATTTGTTGCAGTTTGTTGGGTATTTAAAGGTGTGTACAGGTTGACTCTGAGAGTTTGCTGTCATAGGAACATAAAATCATAAGATATAGGGGTGGGAGGTACCTTGGAGATCATGTAGTCTAACACCTTTATTTTACAAGTGGGGAAACTGAGGCCTAGTGAGGTAAAGTGACTCGTTAAAGTGTCTCACCCACACTCTTTTTTTTTTCTTTTAACTATTTTTTTTTTTTTGGTGTGTGAGGCAATTGGGGTTAAGTGACTTGCCCAGAGTCACACAGCTAATGAGTGCTATGTGTCTGAGGCTAGACTTGAACTCAGGTCCTCCTGACTCCGGGGCTGGTGCTCTATCCATTGCGCCATCTAACTACCCCCCTCCCCCACACTCTTAATACAAGGGTTCAAAAGAAGACTTTTTAACTCCACATTCATTGCCCTCAAATTTAATTTAAAATTTATGACTTTTTTTCATGAGAAGGCTTATGTGAACTGATGCAGAGTGAGTAAACAGAATTAGGGAAACAATATCTCCAGTACAGGAAGAACCAAAACAAATAAAACTGAATTCTTGTATTTATAATGACCAGACAGAAGAGAAAATGCCCTTCTTTTTTTCTTTTCCTTCCTCCCTCCCTTCTGTGCTTCTTTCCTTCCTTCCTTTTTTTCTTTCCAGATATGGTAGACGATGAGGGTGGCACAGTACTTTGCTGTCAGACTCTGTTAATGTGTTGTTTAGTTTTGCTGTATTATTTTTTCTCTTTCCTGTTCTTTGTTACAAGAGATACCTCACTTTTTTTTGGGGGGGGGTGAGGCAGTCGAGGTTAAGTGACTTGCCTAAGGTCACGCAGCTAGTAAGTGTTAAGTGTCTGAGGCCGGATTTGAACTCAGGTCCTCCTAACTCCAAGGGAGGAGCTCTGTCCACCTAGCTGCCCTGATTCCTCGCTTTTTAGGGATGGGGAAAGGGATATTTTCTGAAATGAAAATGTTATAAAGACAAATGCAATCAATACAAATTAAAAATTTTAAAATTATTATTTTCTTTCCTATAATGGAGGCATATTGCTACACCTTTCTTATGCTTAGCAGCAGTGGTCATTTATTTTGTAAATGGGACAAAGAGGGAGAGATTTTTCCCGGGGTAACTGAGGAAGAGAGAAGGAAGAAGGGAGTTGGGGGTGTATGGGGTGTGTGTGTATGTAAGCGAGAAAGAGAAAAAGACACATGAGCCTGTAACTCACTACTTACACCCTTGTTAAAGACAGAGGAAAAGGCTGTGTGCTTCAGCTACTTGAGGGAGAAGGAAGGAGATGTTGGGTCATATAGTTCCCATATGTTAGTCATGAAGTGACACACACAACTCAGGGCAGCTTGAGGACTCTGGAGTAGCATTGAAGTGGGTGAGAGTGGAGAGGTGGGCTGTATTGAATAGGCTTTTGGATATATGGGATGTTAACATACCATATATAATGTGCCTGCAGTAGGTTTGACCTAGAATTATATGATGTTTCCAGTGCACTGATTAGGCACAGACGCTTGACTAGGAATTGGATTTGTATTTCTTTGAAAATGTGCACTGTTGACCCTTTCTTCTCTGGCATGCTGTGATTCTTTGAGATAAGGATACCCATGTGTTTATCGGAGCTGTTGTTGAGAGTACTTCAGTTTTCCCTGGTAGAATTTTATCGTCTTCTGTGTTTGATTGCTGCTCGTGTTTCCTGGGTACTGGTACACTGTACTGTTTGGTGATGTACTCAGAGGCTGACCTCTGACAAATTCCTGGGTGTTGCAGGTTGAGGCTGCTTCCTGAACTCCCTGACAGGAAGTGTTTGTGCCAGATAGAGCTGGTAGGCAAAGTGAGACGGTCTGGAGGTGACTCATATGATGGGTAGTGTTGGTTTGCTTTGAGTCTTTGTTGCTTAGAAACTATATCTGTAGCTCATTTGCAGGATTGTGCCCCTTGGAGGAGGGCAGCATAAAGCTTTTAGCTGGCCAGATCAGGTCCCTTCACTGTGGCTTCTGCTTTGTAAAAGCCCCTCTATTAGGGTTAATCTGTGGTTTTGCAGGATGCAAATTAAGGAAACTTAAAAAAACTTAAATGAAGAATTTGGTTAGTGGTTTGTTTTGAAGAAGAAAAGTTAATTTTCTTAATTT